CTTACACACACACAACCGCGGAAACTCCCACCCCTTCCCTTGATCTATCCCTCCGTCCATCTCCCCCAGGTGGCCTGCCTGTACCCCCTTGATACCATCAAGGTGCGCTGCCAGGCCACCAGCAGCAGCGCAGGCAAGGTGGTCGCAGACATGCTGCGCGCCAACGGCGGCATCCTGGCGCCCGCGCTCTGGCGCCAGCTGTACGCCGGCGTCGTGGGTGCCTCCCTGCTGTCTGTCGCGGTGGGGGCGCTCTACTACTCATCATTCTGCGCCGCCAAGCGCCACCTGCTGCGGTGGACCGCCGACAACGAGCGGCGCGCGGCGGCGCGGGCGGCGGCGGCGGGCGCGGCGGACGCGCTGCCCTTGCCGGGGCTGGGTGCAGGCGGTGCTGCGGCGGCGCTGGCGGGGGATCACCCGGCCCTCCACCACCACCCGGCCCACGGCCCACCTGTTGACTACCACCATGACGTGAGGCCGCGGCACGCGGCGATGGAGAGGGGCTGAGGGGTGGCGGCTGTGGCAGCCCGGCGCACGCGTTGCGCTGTGCGAATGACAAAGCGCCATCCCTGTGGGTCGCAGCAGAGGGTCCAGGGGGGGCTGCCTTGTTGCTGCCCTGAGCCTCTGGCTGGGAATGCCGCACCCACAGCCCGCCTCTCTGTGCTGCCGCCACCTGCAGGCGGTTGTCGCCATGGTGTGCTCGACAGAGGCAGCTGCGCGGCGCGCGGAGCAGGCTGCGGTGAAGAAGGCCGCCAGCCGCAAGGAGCGCAAGGAGCGGCGGCAGCGCGAGGCAGCAGTGGCTGGCGCCGGCGCTGATCCAGGGCAGGCCTCGCTCCTGGCGGCCTCGGCGGCGGCCGAGTCGTCGGGTGCGGCCAGCGGCAGCGAGCGCGCCAGCGGCAGCGAGGTGGCGGAGGACGCCGTCAGCAGCGGCGGGCGGCTGCGCGCGAACATGGCCGCGGCGACGGCGGCGGCGCTGGTGGGAGCTGTCGTGGAGGCGCCTGTCGAGCTGTTCAAGCACCAGCTGCAGGCCGGCCACATCAGCGGCTCCATCCTGGGCCACATGGGCGCCGCCGTCAGGGCGGGCGGCCCCGCGGCGCTGTTTGTGTCGATGCTGCCGTTCTGCATGAAGTCGCTGCCCTTTGACTCGGTGGAGCTCCTCACGTACAGCAGCCTCTCGGACGCGCGCGAGGCGCTCGGCACGGCGCCCGCAGCGGGCGCCGGGGCCGACCCGGGGGCTGGCCTGGGGGAGCGGCTGGTCGCGGCGGCGCGCGCGGCGCGCGACCACCCCTGCCTGGACCTGGGCATCGGCGCGGCGGCGGGCGCGGCGGCCGTGCTGATCAGCCAGCCGATGGACACGGTGAAGACCTGCATCGAGACGGGCTCGCACCTGGCGGCCGCGCCTGGGGCCGCACCCGCGGGGTCGGGGCGGGCGTTTGTTGAGATGGGGCGTCAGCTGGTGGCGAAGCACGGCCCTGGCGCCCTCTTTGCCGGCATGAGCATGCGGCTGGCGGAGCAGGTCCCCTCCACTGCGGTGGGTCTCGAGGGGGGAGAGGCATGACTGGGACGGCAGCCGCTGCCGTCGTGGTCGCAGCGAGGCGTTGGGGCTTCAGTGTGGGTTCAGACAACTTCCTGCGCATGGCAGGGCTGCACGTGGGCTGCACGCTTGTGTTACATACAAATGTTGGATCAGCGCCTGCTTGTGCGCCCTGCACGCCGCCCCCCCCCCCTTCACCTGCACTCACCCCTCTGCCCGGCATCGCTGTCTCCCCGACCCACAGCTCTACTGGATTGCAGTGGAGGGCACTCGGCGTGCGCTGGAGCCTTACGTTGCAAAGTAAGCACAGACCCAGTTGCCACGTGTCACGAACCAACACACCAGTACAAAGGCGCTGCCATGCTCCGGCCACCGGTCAGCCCTGCCCGCATGGGCGGCGACGGCATTCACAGTATGTCCGGCTGCAGTGTACTGGCCTGGAGCGCGCGCATCCTGGCATGTTGTGTCGCGGCGTCCTCCCCCCCCCCCCCAAACCTGGCGGACTGGTGTTGCATCTGTTGCCTCCCCTTGCGTAAGTGTGCACCTGGCACACAAGCGCGCACAATTTTGACACTCGTTGTTGTTGAGAGTGGTAGCAGCGCGTGCTTGCTGCGACGGGGGCCATTGTGTGTGTGTGTGTGTGTACGTTTCGCACCCCCGTTGCCGCGGCAGCATGGGCTCAGTTGATAAGGAGTTGGGGCCCTGGGACACTCCTCCAGGGTGTTGGCAGCCCGCCATTTCCGCCACGGGCGCGTAGGGCACAGCTCATCCCAGGAGGCGTTCCAGATTGGAGGCTCCCTGATTTCCCCCCAACCATTAGAGTGGTAGGTTGCAACGATGATCCTGCAGGCTGGTGCTCGCTGTTGTGCTCCTTGATTGATTCTTTGCGAGCGCATTGAGCAGGGGCTGTGAGAACTCATAGGGCTCTGTTGGAGGCTTGGTGCCGCCGTCTCTTTTGATTTTCATGGCACGCAACCACAAGCCTTCAACACCCGCACGCATGACGAGGCAGGCTTGCTCGCAGTCGGTTGCACGGCACGCGCACGCGCGCCGCTCACATCCGCACGCTGGCACACACCCGGCATGCACCCACTTTTGCGCCGCAAGGCGTTTTCCCTCCGCCGCGTTTGGCTGGAACCCCTCCGAGCGAGCACTGTTTATTGCAGCTATGATTTTACTTCACATGTCCCAAATACACACCAGCTTGAGTCGATCACGCACATGTACCTATCTTTGGCACTGGTGTGTAACACAAATCAAGGCATATCGTGACGCCATGCTTGATTGGGACGCCAAACCTGTCACACGACCTGGTGCAAGGCGCCATGAAAGATCCACCCAGGTACAGCTTCCAGCTTGGGCTTCCTGCTACTCGACATGGGGTTGTCCGCTGCCAGGCACTTAAGGTCCAAACGCACCAGTAGGCAAAACACTTCTGACCCAGAAAACATGTCTAGAGACAGAAGTCAAGCTCCTACCAGGACTCTGTGGGCGAGCTTACCGTGTTCCATGCAAGTGTGGTTGAGGGTTGGACACTGAAACGGTTTGCAGCGGACAAGACCAGCGTGGATGGTCGCTGGCAATGACCAGGGAAGCGCTTGATCTGTGAATGATAGAGTATACAAATTACCTCATTGAACATCTTGTATCTCCTAGCGCTGGAGGGCTGGCGTGGGGCGCGGGTTGCTAGCCGGAGCAGCGAGGCGTGTTTTTGTCCGCCCACAGCACGGGCGGTGCTCGTGCATCGGAATTCAGCTCTGCATAGATTATGAAGCGCGTGTTTGAATGCGGCAATCGCTATATATAGGCTCCCACATCATAGTTTTAGGTTGAAGGTCAGCCGCGAGACTGCGGCCCGCGGGCGGAACCAAAGGGCTTGCCCTCCGCGACCTCTTGAGGCGAGTTGAGCACTCATCATCTGCCATGATGCTCTTGAGATACGGGGAGACTTGAAAGGCGCGGCGGCGGCCTCACCTGGCGCGCATTTGCGCGGCGGACTGGCGCTTCCTGGGGGTCAACAAAAATGCTCCAACATGCTGCGCTCAGCCGCTTGTTTATAATGCTCTGCCACATGGAATACCAATCGCTTGAGGGTGCCAGCCGCAATGACCCTGTCGCACTCCGCATCAAACTATGCATGGACTGTGTCTGGACTGTGTCGAGACTGTGCACAACCATCAACGGCAAGCCATAAAAGTTCCCGGCCTGCGGCAACCATGCAGGTCAACCCTGCGGAATGGACCTCAATGGCATCGCCCCTATGCTGCTGGACGGCCCCACGCTGGGGTCGCCTGATGCCATGGCCCTGTTCCCAATTGACGGGCCGCTGCGTCAGCACCCTGGCCATGTGCAGCTCAGTCACGACGCCTATGACTTGCAGCCGTTTGAGTGCGAGCCACAGCTGCAGCAGCAACACCAGTTGCAGCAACTGCAGCAACATCAGCGACAGTATCAGCAGATGCACTGTGAACAGCAGCAACAGCAGCAGCAGCAGCAGCAGCAGCAGCAGCTGATGTACGGTGTGCAGCAGCAGTCGCAGCATATGCAGCGACAGTGGCTGCCACCCATCGAGGGCTCGTGTCTGCTGCCGCCGCTGAACGGCGGAGACAGCTCCCAGCGCTCAACAGGCAGCGTCGGCTGCAGGCGGCGCGATCCTGCGGGTTCCCCGGACTCGCCCAGTGTGCTGAATGTTGGCGGTGCAGCGCTGAGGGTCAATCAGCACAATATTCTACAGCAGCAGCAGCAGCAGCAGCAGCAGCAGCAGCAGCAGCAGCAGCAGCAGCAGCAGCAGCAGCAGCAGCAGCAGCATCTCCAGCTGCAGCAGCGCCACGCGATGCTGCAGCAGGCTGTTCTGCGCCAGGAGCGGCAGCTGTTCGAGACGCATCACCTTGCGGCCTCGCACGCACAAGCTCGCAGCTTGGCGACGTCCCACCAGCAGGCACAGCTGCAGCGTGCGCAAGCGGAGCAGATGCGCGCTCTGGCGGACGCGCAGCGCGCCGAGCTGGACGCGCTGCACGGGTCCATGCTGCACAGCTCCGGCGGTGTGGATGCCATGCGCGCCCACATTGCGCAGCAGATGGCGATGCGTGATCAGCTCCTGCAGCGCACAGAGCGGCTCGCTGCGGAGGTGCACAGGCGCGAGGCAGTAGCGGCCACGGCTGGCGGGAGTCATGTTCCGCAGGCGCCATCGCTGCTGATGCAGCACTCGCACGACAGTGGGCCGTGGCAAGCGCAAGCGCTTCAGCAGCAGCAACAGCAGCAGCAGCAGCAGCAGCAGCAGCAGCAGCAGCAGCAGCAGCAGCAGCAGCCGATGCTAATGCATCACGCCGACGCGCTCCCTCCTCATCAGATGCACCTTGCAGCAGCCCACCCCAACCAGCGCATTTCGGCAATTGAGGCAGCGCGCCAGCTGAAAGCGCTGCTGTCAAGCCTGCCCCCAGAGCAGCGCCGCGCATACGCGTCTGACCTTATGCGGCGCCGCGGGCAGCTGCTGGCCGCCGGCGCGAGCGGCGCGGGTGCGGCCGACGTCGGTGCAGCTGCCTTGGAGCATTGCCAAATGCTAATGGCGAAAGGGCGGGCACACCCGGCGTCGGCATCGGCTGCGGCGGCAGCTGCAGCTGCTGCTGGGGCAGCGCCAGGGGCAGCGCTTGACGCTCCACTCCATCAGGCAGCTTTGGGGCTTGCGCAGCAAGACATGTCTGGTCGCACCGGCCAAAATGGCGAGCTTGCCGCCATGGACCCCTGGGCTGCAGCTGCCCGCGGCAGCAATGGCACCAGCGAGACTCTGCTGCTGCCGCCCTCCACATCACTGCCGCCAGCAGGCCACAGGGACAGACTGCTGTGCGGCGTGCAGCGCGCGGCTGCCGCGGCCCCTGAGCACCACAGCGAGGGCGAGGGCGGCGGTAGCAGCGCGGACGGTGCATCCGCAGCAGCAGGCGGTGCCGCTGGGCGTGACACGGCGGTGAGCGAGGTGCGGCTGGTGGTGACTGCGCTCGTGCACAGCACTGTGGCGGCCCTTGAGGGTGAGGCCGCCGCAGCGGCTGCGTTCATGGCAGGTACAGACGCCAGGGCGCCACAGCCCCCGGCTCCGACTGCTGCCGCCAGCCTCATGGACCAATGCTCCCCAAATGTGGGCGCCAGCGGCAGCGGTGGCGGTTGCAGCGCGCCTGCGCCCTCCAGCGCGGTGTGCGCTGCAGTGCGCGACGGTATTGGTGGCTTACTGGGCAGCGTCAGCACCAGCTGCAACAGCCAGCCGTGTGCCAGCAATGAGTTCGCGTACGTCCCTGCTGCGGCTGCCGCCGCGGACGGCGCCGCGCCTGCTGTGGGCATGCAGTGCCCCGCCATTGATGACGACGCGGTGAGGGCCCTGCTGCTGGGGGACGACCTCGCCCTGGTGGAGGGCGGCGGCGCCGAGGAGGGCGGGCTGCTGGACGACTTCCTGGCCGGCTTTGGCGGCGACGACGAGCTTGTGATGGGAGGGGGCGCTGTGACGCGCGCGGGCGCGGCCCGGCAGCCCGCCCTGCATGCAGGCGAACAGGGGCTGGCGTGGGGCATGCAGCTGCCAGGGGTGTGCCACCTGGCGGCGACGCTGGGGCGGCAGGATGACGTGCTGATGGCGCCGCAGCACGCCCTGCCGGGCGGCAGCCACATGAGCAGCGCGTCGCAGTGCATGCACCCCCACCCCATGTCGGGAACGTCAGTGCACCTGATGCACTCGCAGCCGCACCAGCCCGAGCCGGACGTGCGGGCACCCTCCTTCTCTGCCTGGAGGGCAACGACAGAGCACCAACATGCCGCGCTGCTGGCAGCTCATCAGCAGCAGCATCAGGAGCAGGTGCAGGCCCAGAACTACCTGGCGCATCAGCATCAGCAGCAGCAGCAGCAGAAGCAGCAGAAGCAGCAGCAAGAGGCCAACACATACACAGCGCATGCCTGGAGGGGGCGAGGGGGGTCTGATGTTTGGGATGCTGCAGGTGGCCACCTGGCGGCACCTGGCATGCACCCCGCGCACCTGGCGGGCGTGCCACACCAGCCCTTGGGCGCCTTGGGAGGTCACCGCGGGATGCAGTGGGCGACGCAGTGCTCGCTGCACGTTACGCGCAGCAGTGCGCCAGGGCAGCAAGGTGTGCAGCAGCAGGCGACGCCGTTCGCGCGAGCGGAGAACCAGCCGGCCGGATGTGCAGGTGGGGCGCAACGACAGCTTGGGGGTGTGGAGGCAAGGGTGCTGCTGCGATGCATGACAAATTCTCGCGTCGATAAAGCTGCGTCTATTGACTTCGCACCCGTGCACCCTCATCCCCGCGCAAGGCTCGCGCGGTCGCACAATGTCTCCCGAGGCCCTCTTCACCAACCCTCACCCCGCACCCCCTGGCCGCCGCTGCCCGCTTACGCCCACAGTGGCCGGTGGCGCAATCGGCCGTGCACCAGGCCTGGCTGGCGAGTGCGCGTTAGCGGGAATGGTGCCACGGGCCCTGGGGAATGGCAGTGGGCCGCTGCCCTGCACCGCCGCGGATGAGCCCAGTGCTGGGCCGCGCCGCGGCGCGATCCGCTTTGCCAGCGGCGCGGGAGCCCCCCTGTACCCGGAGTCAGGGCAGGGCGCAGACGAGCACGCGCTGCAGGCCGCGATAGCACCCACAGAGGGCGGCCAAGGAGCGCCCCTTGCACGCAGCGCGAGCGGCGGCCTGACGCTGCGCAAGCGCGGCTCCGGGTCTCTTGGACTGGGCGCGGCCGAGGCGCCGCGCCTCAAGCCCTCTAAGAGCCAGCGCCTGCTCAGCGACGACGCAGACTCGGCTCCCGCCCCCAGCCCGGCCACCGCAGCGACGGCAGCGCCGCCGCTGCCCCGCGCCGCCGCCCGCGCCCTGGCAGTTTCTGGAGGCGGCACGGCCGCCGCCGACGCAGCGAGTGGTCGGCGGGCCTCGTTCTCAGACTTGGTGACTGCCGGCTACATCCTCCCCGGGCTGTATGAGTTTGGGATCGGCACCGCGCAGTGCGTGACGGCCGAGGTGACGGAGTCCGGCACGATCCGCTGCGCCGGCGAGGAGCACGGCAGCATCAGCAGCTTTGCGCTGGCCGCAGCGCGCTGCCGCAACCCGCTGCGCCAGGCTTGCGACGGCTGGAAGGAGGTGCGCCTGGGGGGCCGCAAGCTGGAGGCCTGGAGGGACGCATTTGTGCGCGGCGTCAGCCCGCCAAACGCGCCACATAAGGAGGTGGCGGCGGCGGCAGCGATGGAGGTCCAGGCCGCGCCGTCGGCGGAGCTCGAGACGGCCCGGGCTGCTGGCGCACCTGATAGCCCTTAGGCGGCTCTGCTCCCGCGCCGATGAGGGTGCGGCTGCCCGCCACGGCTACGCGGCCGGCTCAAGGCCGGCATGCACCATGCCATTGATGGCCTCAGGTTTTGGTCAATTGCGATCTTGTGTTGACACGCAAATCTAGAATTCGAAGCTACTGAGCACTGGATTTTCAAGCTCTGCATGCAAATTTGCACCAGCCAACCCAAGGGCTGGGAGCGCACCCCCAACCCACAGCTCGGCCTCCACAGGTCGCGGGCGCTGCGGGACGGGGGCTGCCTCGCGCCATCGCCCCCCCTTTGACTCTGCATACCTTCACTTTCGCTCTACTCGTGCGCAGCACTGATTGGCGCACATCGCTGCCTGCCTGGCTGCATTGCGCCGGGGCTTTGCGTGGGGCTATCTCCCATTTTCTTCCCGGGGCTGCTGCGGATGCATCAAGCGCAGCCTTGCATCACGACTATTGAGGGTGCCCACCCGCCACATGTGAGTCATCATCAAGCCACCGCCGGCTGAGAAATTTTAAGCCCTCCAAAGTGCATGCACATGGCGCCCTTAGCATTTTGCATGCGCATGCCTGGCTATGTTGTCAGGGCGGGGGCGAGGGCACATAGCTTTGATTTGCAACACCTGCGTGGGGAGCTTTGCATCGGCTTGCCCGGCCGCAGTGGTCGACCACGCGGCAGTTTTGTTGCATGTGGTGAGAAAGGGGTGAGTTCCTCTGCATGGCGAGCGCCGCCCTCCATGGGTGTAACAGGCCTTCAGGGAAGCTCGTGCTTGGTGGGGCGCCCCCTTGCTTTACTGAAGAAACACCGCCAGTTCAGCTGCACAGTCGTGAGCCATGCGCAAAACGGGGAGCACCCGCAAACCGTTTGGTAGGGGATGGCGCAGCATGGAGGCCCAACAGAGGCAGCCGCCAGTGCAACGCAAACAGGCATCGCGACAACTGCCAACAGGCTTGGTGTGAAGCCAAAGGTTTGAAACATATCAGGCAGGTGCACGTTGCAATGCGCCAGCCCGGCCCATCACACGATTGCGTTTCACACCGCTCTCAGCTGCGTCAGCAATGTCCTGCACACAATTGGGTTGCTGTAAACACCAGACAAAACAAGAATGGGTGGGAAAAGGTTGAACGACTACGCACGCTTGTAAGAACTCCGCGCCACCTAGCCAGCAATCTCGCAATCTCTCTCACTCCCCCCCCCAACACACACACACACACACACACACACACTCACTCACACGCACACACTGCAAACACACAAAAACAGAAACACGCATGTACGCGCGCGCACACACACACACACAGTCAATAGCGCCCCACCGCGCCCACCCAGCGCCCTCAGTCTGCCTTTGTCCAGGCCTTCATGGCCTCGTAGGTGCCATAGGCTATGGCCACCCCGGGCACCACCTTGCAGTACTCCGCCGCTATGCCCGCGTAGAACCCAGATGCGCCCCGCGCGGACCAGATCTGCCGGATCACGCCCGCGTAGCTGGCGCCGCCGCGCGCGCCGCCCGCGCCGTGCACCTGCATGCGCCGCCGCACCACGTCCAGGGGGAAGGTGGCCGTGGAGGTCACCAGGCCGGACAGGCAGCCGCACGCCAGGCTGGCGGCGGTCGACACGGGCGGCGGCGGCTGCACGCCTGGCCTCGCCTGCCCGCCTCGCAAAGAGACGCCGCCGCTGCTGCTGCTGATGCCGCCGCCGCTGCCGCTGCTGCTGCTACTGCTGCTGCTGCTGCTGGAGGCGGCTGCAGCATCCATCGTTTCGCTGCTGCTGGCAGCCTCCTTGCCGTCCACCAGCGCCTGAGCCAGGTCCCACTCGCCACCGCCACCGCCAGCTGCCGTGTGTCCGGGCGCCGCGCCGCCTGCGCCACCCCGCCTGCCGACCTCGGCGGCCGAGACGCCGCCCGATGCGCCCGCGTGCGTGTGCGCCCGCCGCTGCTCCCACTCTGCGGCTGCGTTGCGCGCCGTCTCATACACAGTGAAGCTCAGGGCCAGGCTGGGGACCACCTGGGGGTGGTGGCGGGAAGGGCAGGCCGGCAAGGATCGGCAAAGGTTCGCCGTGACAGGGCCAGTTTTGCGGCCTGGACAGAGCGTCACGCTTGCCTGTCACCCCCACCCATGCCGTCCCTGACGATCCAAGGGGTGTACCCGGCCGCAGCCGAGCTCTCGTGCAGGAGAGCCCGCTGATCTCCACGGCAAGCTCCCCTCAAAACCCCTCCCATTGGCCCGCGCCCGCAAGTGTGCAGGCGTGCCGAGCCCACCTGCACCAGCGTCGCCCCCAGGCCCCTGTACAGCCCCGACGCGCCCTCCTCAGTCACGATGCGCCGCAGTGTGCCGCCGATGCCGCTGTAGTAGCCGCGCCCGCGACCCGTCTGCGCCGCGAGCCGCGTGCGCACCAGATCCAGGGGGTACGCCTTCGGAGTGGGGGTGTTGGGGTCCAGTGTAGGGCGGTGCGACGGATGGGCAGACGTGCAACACACAGAAGAGCACAGACTCACGAAGGGAGGGTGGGGGTGCGCGGAACCCAGCAGCATGGCTGCCTCCGATGTTTGCAGGCCGTACCGCAAACGGGCATGCGCAGAGACGAGCGCAGGCGCGCCGGACCAGCCCGATGCGCGCCTCCGCAGGGCGGCCCCCGAACCCCGCGCCCACCGCGGTGCATGCCATAAGCCCGGCCATGGCGCCGCTTGCCATCCGCCGCGCCACGTCGCTGCCGGTGGGCGCGTGGTGTGCGAGCCAGCAGCTGGTGGCTTCGTAGGTGTAGAAGTTGATGGAGGAGTAGGGCACGCGGTGCAGGATGGTCACGAGGTTGCCCCGCCAGAGGGACCGCCACCCCTCAGCCTGCGCCACGCCCAGCAGCGCCTGGAGGAGCCGAGGCTGCGCGGCCGCGGGGGCCGTCGGCCGCCACGCTGCACCGGCCGCGCCCGCCGGGCCAGCGGCCGGGGCGGCGGCGGCGGCGGTGGCAAAGCGCAGCGGGCTGGGCACCGCCAAGGGGGTTGGCACTGGGTTGAAGGCCTGGACCTGCAGGAAGGGGCAGGGGGCAGGCGTCGCCGCTTTTCGCGCTCCACCCCACCAGCAGCAGGGGGAGGCAGCAGGGCAGCGGAGACATGGCCGCCACGCAAGCTGCTGCGGCTGTGCGCGCTGCCCGCTCATCCCACCTGGTAGAGAATGACGAGGCGGGCCAGAGGGGCCGTGCACGTCTTGGCAAACGCTCCCGCAACGCCACCAGACAGCGCGTGTCGCAGCCCTGCCGACCGTATGGCACGCTCGGGAGCATCTGCCGTGCCGCCGCCTGGAGCAGTGCACCTAGTGCTTTTGCCTCCAGTCGCATCGACAGCTGAGCCAGCTGCCTGTTCACTGCGCGGCATGGATTTCCCGTCTTGTCGCTTTTCCGTCTCTGACGGTGGGGGCGGGGAAGGGGCTTCCTCTGTTTGTGCTGCTTCAAGGTTGTCACCTCGGAACACTTCAAGTTGCATGCGGGTGGCCTTGTGCATGCTGGTATAGATCAGATCTATTTTCATTACAATATTGTTGCGAAAGTGACGACAGAAACTAGGTGCTCCGGGCGAGTTGCAGCGCCACAGTGCCCAGCAGAGCGCAGTGCTCTGGAACAATTAATGATGTAGGTGAGTAGTCTCATCTGCACGAAATAATTTATGAAGCGCTTTTAGATGTGAGCAGCGATGGGAGGTGATCTGGATGTCCCCGGGACCTTGCTCCTCGAGAGTTTATGGGCCGAGGATGACAACCAGGAGGAAGCATTACCGACATCTGCTTCGGATGAAGTGAGCTGCAGGATTGCAGGCAGCGTACCTAGGATGCTTGACGCACGTGCACAAGAAGCGCCGCAGCACCTGCTGCAGAGGTCAACCCGGTGTGTTTGACTGCCCAACCCCCCTTTTCCAGGACAAGCCTGAAGCGAGGGGCAGGGAGTTGAAGCAGTTGTCCACGGGTGGTGTTCCACCTTTCGCGCCGGCCCTGCCGCTGAACCCGTGGCGCTCGGAGAAGGCGCTCAGGGCCAGCCGCAGTGCGAGCTCGGCGGGCAACGCCCGCGGTCGGCCGCAGGCCGCGACGCCGATCTCAAAGAAAGGTCGCGGCACCTCTGACAACATGACGACCAGCAAGCCGCGCGCCTCATCAGCGACCGCTGCCGGCGTGCGCCTGCCATCCGTCCCCGGCGCAAAACATCCTCGCGGTGGTGGCCACAGGCCAGCGCGGCAGCAGGCAGCTGACGGCGGCGGCGGTGTCGGCGCGTGCTGGCCCCCTGCCGCGAGCGCCGAGTCCCTGTTTGAGCTGCAGCAGGAGGTGGCCTCACGGCGGACTGTTTTCGTGTCGGCCCAGCTCCAGGTGCAGACGGCCGCCAAGCTGCTGGCCGGCGCGGAGAGCGACATCAGGCAAGCGGCGGCCAGGCGCAGGGGGCGGGCCCGAGAGAGTGACACTGTCGTGGAGCTGGGACGTACAGCTGCGGCGTTGAATACATGGACATACGCGATTGCTCCTCGCTGTTTCTCACAGCACGCTTCGTGGTTATAATTGACGCTCTCTGCCACATGGCTTGATCGCTGGCGTGCGCGATGCACCTCACTGCCGCACGGCCAGGTCGCTCGGCCAGGAGGAGCAGCAGCTGGCCGCCGCGCACCCGCCCGCGCCGCAGCGGCTGCGCCAGGTGCGGGAGTGGCTGCTTGAGCGGGGCGAGGCTCTGGAG